GCCTAGCATCTGTTTTCATTGTTCTTCTTGTGAGACTAGACTAGCTTCTGTTTTCGTTGTTCCACTTGTGAGACTAGACTAGCTTCTGTTTTCATTGTTCTAATTGTGAGACTAGACTAGCTTCCGTTCTCATGGTTCTACTTGTGAGACTGTACTGGCTTTTGTTTTCATTGTTCTACTTGTGCGACTAGACTAGCTTCTGTTTTCATTGTTCTACTTGTGAAACTAGACTAGCTTCTGTTTTCATTGTTCTAATTGTCAGACTAGACTAGCTTCTGTTTTCATTGTTCTACTTGTGAAACTAGACTAGCTTCTGTTTTCATTGTTCTTCTTGTGAGACTAGACTAGCTTCTGTTTCCATTGTTCTTCTTGTGAGACTAGACTAGCTTCTGTTTCCATTGTTCTTCTTGTCAGACTAGACTAGCTTCTGTTTTCATTGTTCTACTTGTGAAACTAGACTAGCTTCTGTTTTCATTGTTCTTCTTGTGAGACTAGACTAGCTTCTGTTTTCATTGTTCTTCTTGTGAGACTAGACTAGCTTCTGTTTCCATTGTTCTTCTTGTGAGACTAGACTAGCTTCTGTTTTCATTGTTCTTCTTGTGAGACTAGACTAGCTTCTGTTTTCATCGCTCTTCTTGTGAGACTAGACTAGCTTCTGTTTTCATGGTTCTACTAGTAAGACTAGAATAGCTGCTGTTTTCATTGTTCTACTTGTAAGACTAGACTAGCTTCTGTTTTTATTGTTCTACTTGTAAAACTAGACTAGCTGCTGTTTTCATTGTTCTACTTGTGAGACTAGAATAGCTGCTGTTTTCATTGTTCTACTTGTGAGACTAGACTAGCTTTTGTTTTCATTGTTCTACTTGTGAGACTAGACTAGATTCTGTTTTCACTGTTCCACTTGTAAGACTAGACTAGCTTCTGTTTTTATTGTTCTACTTGTAAAACTAGACTAGCTGCTGTTTTCATTGTTAAACTTGTGAGACTAGACTAGCTTTTGTTTTCATTGTTCTACTTGTGAGACTAGACTAGATTCTGTTTTCATTGTTCTACTTCTGAGACCAGACTAACTTCCGTTCTCATGGTTCTACTTGTGAGACTAGACTAGCTTTTGTTTTCATTGTTCTACGGGTGAGACTAGACTAGCTTCAGTATTCATTGTTCTACCTGTGAGATTAGACTAACTTCTGTTTTCATTGTTCTACTTGTAAGACTAGACTAGCTTTTGTTTTCATTGTTCTACTTGTGAGACTAGGCTAGCATTTGTTTTCACTGTTCTAGTTGTGAGACTAGACTAGCTTCTGTTTTCATTGTTTTGCCTGTGAGACTAGACTAACTGCTGTTTTCATTGTTCTACCTGTGAGACTAGACTACCTTCTGTTTTCATTGTTCTACTTGTGAGACTAGACTAGCTGTTTTTTTCATTGTTCTACTTGTAAGAGACTAGCTTTTGTTTTCATTGTTCTACCTGTGAGACTAGACTAACTTCTGTTTTCATTGTTCTACTTGTAAGACTAGACTAGCTTTTGTTTTCATTGTTCTACTTGTGAGACTAGACTAGCTTTTGTTTTCATTGTTCTACTTGTGAGACTAGACTAGCTGCTGTTTTCATTGTTCTACTTGTAAGAGTGGACATAGTCGACGAGTGGTCTCCGATATTTGCGTAGGTGGGACCCCACTTGAGATTATCGCATGACTACCCACGCCCCTCTCCCCAACCACTTTCATATAACACAATATGATTAACAACAGGAGGACAAACAAAAAACTCCATGTACAGTGATACGAATTTGGAGAAATAAAACAAACCATTCATCGAAGTGTGAAACGAAATGGTCACCAAAAACTGGCAGTTTTGTTTTCAAATATCAACGAAATGGTTGACACAAGTTTGTCTAGATAATAGCTGCTAGTTTTTGTCTGATGTTAGACAAGGCACACACACAGGTTTGTCTAGATAATACCTGCTAGTTTTTGTCTGATGTTAGACCAGGCACACACACAGGTTTGTCTAGATAATACCTGCTAGTTTTTGTCTGATGTTGGACCAGGCACACACACAGGTTTGTCTAGATGAAATCTGCTAGTTTTTGTCTGATGTTGGACAAGGCAAAACGGAAATCAGTCTCCACGTCAAGCTTCGAAACGCTGTTATGTTTTCTTGACAATGGCCGCAGACAATTTGCATTGCTACAGGTGCAAGTGCAGTCAATTTCAAAATTGAGAGCACCCCCCCCCCTCCCATCCCCCACAGGTTGTAAACCACAGCTGTAGACAGAACGTCGTGCAAGGATGCACGTGTGAGACAGGCATGAATCCAACAAACAACGCACAGACGAGCTTTCCAGCAAAGTCTTTATCAGCAAACTAAGTGATACAAGGAGCCCTTGTAGTGAATTTTGTTTTGTTTTTCAAATTGCACCCCTCCGTTCCTTTTTCTTGTCTCGTGTCTGAGTACGGTGTATAGTGTGTGGGAGTGTGTGTGTGTGTGTGGGTGTGTGTGTGTGTGAGTGTTTGTATGTGTGTAAGTGTTTGCGTGTGTGTGTGAGTGTGTGTTTGTGAGTGCATGTGTGTGGGTGTGTGAATGAGTGTGTGGTGTGTGTATGAGTGTGTGTGAGCGTGTGTGTGAGTGTGCGTGTGTGTGCGTGTGTGTGCGTGTGTGTGTGAGTGTGCGTGTGTGTTTGTGTGCGCGCGTGTATGTGTGCGTGTGTGTGTGTGTGCGTGTGTGTGAGTGTGCGTGTGAGTGTGCGTGTGTGTAAGAGCGTGTGTGTGAGTGTGTGTGTGTGAGTTGGTGTGTGTGTGCGTAAGAGCGTGTGGTGTGGTGTGGTGTGTGGGAGGGTCGGGTGTGTGTGTGCGTGTTTTGGGTTTTAGTGTATCTTTCCCAACACATCAGCTCCTCAACTTTCTATGGTTCTCCCCCCCCCCCCCTAATTTCCCCCCACACACCAGCCCCTCAACTTCTATGGTTCTTCCCCCCTCTCCCATCTTTCCCCAAACACCAGCCCCTCAACTTCTATGGTGGGGATGTTGTGAGCACCCCTCCCCCCATCTTTCGCCTAACACCAGCCCCTCAACTTCTGATGGTTTCCCCCCCCCCACCCGCCCCCAGCATTTCCCCCCACAACACTAGCCCCTCAGCTTCTATGGTTCTTCCCCCCTCTCTCATCTTTCGCCACACACCAGCCCCTCAACTTATATGGTTTCCCCACCCCCGCCCCCCCACCTTTCGCCTAACACCAGCTCTCCTCACCTTCTATTGTTCTTCCCCCCCCCCCCACATCTTTCCCAACACACCAGCCCCTCAACTTCTATGGTTCTCTCCCCCCCCCCCCGCCCCCCAGCATTTCCCCCCACACACTAGCCCCTCAACTTCTATGGGTTCTCCCCCCTCCGCCCATCCCCCCCCCATTTTTCCCACACACCACCCAGCCCCTCAACTTTTATGGTTCTCCAAACCCCGCCCCCCAGCATTTCCCCCCACACACTAGCCCCTCAACTTCTATGGTTCTTCCCCCCCCCCTCCCATCTTTCGCCACACACCAGCCCCTCAACTTATATGGTTCTCCCCTCCGCCCACCCCCCCCCTCCCATTTTTCCCCACACACCAGCCCTTCAACTTCTATGGTTCTTCCCCAATCTCCAATCTTTCCCCACACACCAACCCCTCAACGTCTATGGTTCTTCCCCCACCCCTCCCCCCATATTCCCCCACACACCAGCCCCTCAACTTCTATGGTCTCTCCCCCCCCCCATCTTTCCCAACACACCAGCCCCTCAACTTCTATGGTTCTTTCCCCCTCCCCTATTTTTCGCCCACACACCAGCCCCTCAACTTCTATGGTCCTTCCCCCCCCCCCCCCGCCATATTTCCCAACACACCAGCCCCTCAACTTCTATGGTTCTTTCCCCCTCCCCTATTTTTCGCCACACACCAGCCCCTCAACTTCTATGGTTCTTCCCCCCCCCCCCCATCTTTCCCAACAGACCAGCCCCTCAACTTCTATGGTTCTCCGCCCACCCCGCCCCTCCCCCATTTTCCCCCCACACACCAGCCCCTCAACTTCTATGGTTCTCCGCCCACCCCGCCCCTCCCTCATTTCCCCCCCCCCCACACACCAGCCCCTCAACTTCTATGGTTTTCCCCCCCCCCCCCATCTTTCCCACACACACCAGCCCCTCAACTTCTATGGTTTTTCCCCCTCCCTCCATCTTTCCCCACACACCAGCCCCTCAGCTTCTACGGTTCTTTCCCCGCCCCCCTCATCTTTTCCCACACACCAGCTCCTCAACTATCTATATTTCTTCCTCCCCCTTCCCCACACACCAGCCCCTCAACTATCTATTGCTCTTCTCCCCCTCGCTCCCCCCCCCCCCGTCTTTTTCCCCCCACACACCAGTCCCTCAACTATCTAAAGTTTTTTTTTAAATGACCTTACCTCCAAGGTCGACGATGCTTAAATGGCTACCAGGCATAGTCCCGGGAAGTAAAGATGTTTAAAAAAAACCACCTAACAAGTGCCAATTGCTCTGTAGAATATGTCTGTAAGTCTGGCACTGTGTGCCCGATATACCTAAAGGCGGGCAAATGATCGTTTACTTTCTGTCTGTCCAGTACGTCTGAATGCGTAGAACAGGCTCGTTTTCTCTTCTGCTTTTACTATGTTTTTAAGATATTATTGTTATTATTATTAGGCACGTACACAAGGACAGCAAAATGAATTATCACGCCAAACGATAAGCAGCCATACAAAGTAGATTAATCAAAGAATAATACTACCATGATATTTTTAGGTAGGATAACAACACATCTGACATAGGGATAACTCTCACCGTGACATGATAGCCGCAGCACTCCCTCTTGTATGTGTCCACGCTGGCTGGGCTCACACAGTCGGCGGTTTTCAGCTTGGCCGCGTGGATAACCCTCAGAACGTGGATGTAGTAACCGTTAACGCAGTCCAGTCGCAGGTAGTTGTTGGTGTTTCCATAGCAAGCGGTGGCTGAGGGTGGGAGGCAAGAGTGGGAGTGTTGTGGGGCATTCTGTCAGAGGCCAACAGTCTGTTGTCTCGTGTGTTTGTTGTATGGCATTCTGTCAGAGGCCAACAGTCTGTTGTCTCGTGTGTTTGCTGTATGGCATTCTGTCAGAGGCCAACAGTCTGTTGTGTGTTGTGTATTTGTTGTATGACATTCTGTCAGAGGCCTACACTCTGTTGTCTCTAGTGTGTTTGTTGTATGGCATTCTGTCAGAGGCCAACAGTCTGTTGTTTCGTGTGTTTGTTGTATGGCATTGTGTCAGAGGCCAACAGTCTGTTGTCTCGTGTGTTTGTTGTATGGCATTGTGTCAGAGGCCAACAGTCTGTTGTCTCGTGTGTTTGTTGTATGGCATTCTGTCAGAGGCCAACAGTCTGTTGTTTCGTGTGTTTGTTGTATGGCATTGTGTCAGAGGCCAACAGTCTGTTGTTTCGTGTGTTTGTTGTATGGCATTTTGTCAGAGGCCAACAGTCTGTTGTGTGTTATGTATTTGTTGTATGACATTCTGTCAGAGGCCAACAGTCTGTTGTCTCCTGTGTTTGTTGTGTGGCATTCTGTCAGAGGCCAACAGTCTGTTGTCTTGTGTGTTTGTTGTATGACATTCTGTCAGAGGCCTACACTTTGTTGTCTCTTGTGTGTTTGTTGTATGGCATTGTGTCAGAGGCCAACAGTCTGTTGTCTCGTGTGTTTGTTATATGGCATTCTGTCAGAGGCCAACACTCTGTGGTGTCTCGTGTTTTTTGTTGTATATGATGTGTTTGTATTATATGTTGAGGATATGTACACATAAAACAGTGTATACGTTTGTCGGCTGTCTGTGTCTAGCGGAATCTAAAACAACAACAAAATTTAGCGTCAAAAACAACATATCCTGGGACAAGACGACACTGGTAACACCATGGATCGTCCAGTCCCTATCTAATAACCGAAGCCAAACGATGAGCCCGACGACCAGCGAGAGAACTATTGCAATGGAATAGAACTTACAATTGTATAATTTGCGTGTTTCATTGTATGTCGCCCCTAAACCGAAGTCCCCAAATGATTCCCTGTACAGGATATTTTTTAACAAATCATTGTATCAGACGCGCATTGCGTTTCAAGCGAATATTTATTTCAAAATAAATCGTCTGATACATGAGAAATTCGACAGGTGAAGGGAAAGTTTGCAGAAACAAACTGCAGAAAGTGAGTGACGCTTGTGACAGTTTTATTGATGATAATTTTGTGAATGTTAGTGTTGAGACTACAGGAAACAATCCATTAGAACTATCATTGAATTGATATATTATTGATAATTTAGGATCATCAAATCATTGTAAAGGTTTTTTAAAATTATTATAGCAATATGGAAATCATACAGACAAGAAAATAAGAGCGACAGGAAAACTCCCTCATATTTTAGTTCTCCCGTAATTTGACAATTCAACGTTTTGAAATTTAGGAGAAAATTTTGTTCTTATTCAAATAATTGACGAATAATGTTTTCAAGTGGCACATCAAAGTTGTCAAAACTCTCTTCTTCTACACACAGACCTATGGTGTCTGTTGAGTAAACACAATATACACGCCATGTGTATGGTTGTCTATTTACACTTGGACTCCACAATCAGGGTAAAAATGCCGCGTTTCTGTGAGCGTATTTTTGCATAGAAGCCATCTATTCCTTGTGCTAACAAGGTGTGTCAATGAACGACAAGTAGACACATCTTGCAAAGATTGATGTAACCATTGAAAGTTCTTAAACTGAAAAAAGCAATGTCTCGCCCCCACCCCTCTCCCAGCCACACACAGCCTATCTGGATCATCCGGGAAGAGGTTCGACGTCACGACATTCAGGCCAAGTCCATACGATCTCCGTCTCGCTCATAAACAGTTACACTGGTGGGTACCGGTTGTCATCAGGTTAACTACTCGTCTGGCTTTCTTCCATGTTTTTAGCGGTGCCTTAAGCCTGTCACTAATCTCCGCTAGGACCAATGTACAGAAACGCGGCATTTTCACTACACCAAAAAATTTTATTTTTTTATTTACAGACTTAGAGCAGTTATTTTATAATGGTCGTTTGTAGGGATACATGTTATTACATTTGTTTACTTAAAGTGTCAAAAAATCATAGTTGTCATGACAATAGCCGCCATCTTGTTAAAAAAAAAAACAATGTGTACTTAAAATCCTACAATTTTAAAAACAAACATAGGTATTCAACAATAGATGATGGATCCATGACTTTTTATCTTATTTAGAGGTACAGGTCTAGATTATTTACTTTAAACATGTTTTTAAATATTTTTCGTTGAATTTTAAAATGTAGGTTTATTGACAAAGTCAAAAAAATCTTGCATCATAAGACAATAATCAAATTTTAGAACACAAAAAATTTCTAAAATCTATTTCTAGATAAACCAGTTTCTATAATATTGTTTATGGAGTATGCATACAGAATTTCATGTTTCTACTGTTTATATTAGCTAAGATTTTAGGATTTCACACACACAGCAAACTGAAATATAGAGATTTGAGAAAACTGACTTCTGAACTTTTTTTTATCTTAAAAAAGTTCACGAGGTGGTGTCGTTAGTATTAACTTTTCAAAGCTAAATTGTTTACAAATGACATAAATTTTGTGTGTCATCTATTCTACGAATGCCGAACTTTACAAAAACGAACACATTGAAAATGTGATATTTTTGTCATAAATTGGGAAAAATGCCGTGTAGTGACCCCTGATGAGGATACATGGCGCTAGTGGAAGCCGCTAGAGGCTCGCGTGCGGTTCAGAAAGTCGTGGGTTCGCTCCCTGGCGGAGCCGAACTTTTTTTCAAAAATGACCTCGACTCCTAGGTCGACCTAGCTCTGAGTGGGTACTGGGTGCAGTTCTGGGAAGTAAAGCGGCCGACGTGATGCTGACCACATCACCCATCTTGTGCTGATTGGTTTTAAAAATTTAGGTCTAGCCCTATATGCCCTATACGCCTAAAGCCATGGAAACGGTACAGTTACTTTTTTTCTACTTTTTTAATATGCCACTGATAGTTGTATCAACACACGGAGGCTATCACTATCATGTATCATTTATCTTATCTGTCCACTGGTCAACGATGTCACAGTTCTACTAACGACATAAATACATACACTCTACAAGATCTGAACATCGACAAGAACTGGCTCAAACACAGCAACACATCTTAAAGACTGGAATAATATTTTCACGTGAAATGAAGACGTTGGTTTGATAATACAGTAATGGAAGCTTCGCTTACCGTGGAAGAAGGAGAGTGTGGACTTTGGATGTCCAGACGGACATGAAAAACATTCCATACATAAAAACATTCCAGACATAAATACATTCCAGACATGAAGACATTCCATACATGAAAACATTCCAGACATGAAAACATTCCAGACATGAAAACAGTCCAGACATGAAAACATTGAAGGCATAAAAACATTGAAGACATGAAAACATTGAAGACATAAAAACATTCCAGACATGAAAACACTGAAGACATGAAAACATTCCAGACATGCAAACAATGAAGACATAAAAACATTCCAGACATGAAAACACTGAAGACATGAAAACATTCCAGACATGAAAACATTCCAGACATAACAACATTCCAGACATAAAAAGATTGAAGACATGAAAATATTGAAGACATGAAAACATTGAAGACATTAAAATATTGAAGACATGAAAACATTGAAGACATGAAAACATTGAAGACATGAAAACAATCCAGACATGCGAACATTGAAGACATGAAAACATTGAAGACAAGAACACATTGAAGACATGAAAACATTGAAGACAAGAACACATTGAAGATATCAAAACATTCCAGACATGAAAACATTCCAGACATAACAACATTCCAGACATGAAAAGATTGAAGACATGAAAATATTGAAGACATGAAAACATTGAAGACATTAAAACATTGAAGACATGAAAACATTGAAGACATGAAAACATTGAAGACATGAAAACAATCCAGACATCAGAACATTGAAGACATGAAAACATTGAAGACATGAACACATTGAAGACATCAAAACATTCCAGACATGAAAACATTTAAGACATAACAACATTCCAGACATGAAAACATTCCAGACATGAAAACGTTGAAGATATTAAAACATTGAAGACATGAAAACATTGAAGACATGAAAACATTGAAGACATGAAAACATTGAAGACATGAAAACATTGAAGACATGAAAACATTCCAGACATGAAAACATTCCAGACATGAAACCGTTCCGGACATGAAACCATTCCAGACATGAAACCATTCCAGACATGAAAACATTCCAGACATGAAAATATTCCACACATGAAAACATTCCAGACATGAAAACAATCAAGACATGAAAATATTCTAGACATGTTGGGAACGACGATCTGTAAAGACCTTGCTAAATGAAAATGCCTCAGATGTACTGGATGTTATTATCATGAGCAGAAGGAACAGATGGCTCTAATGGACGGCTGACCAGAGAGTTCTAAGCAAGTAGACCTGTCTGTCATGTTGACCCAACTACTGCCAATCTGGGGCTGACCAGAGAGTTCTAAGCAAGTAGACCTGTCTGTCATGTTGACCCAACTACTGCCAATCTGGGGCTGACCAGAGAGTTCTAAGGAAGTAGACCTGTCTGTCATGTTGACCCAACTACTGCCAATCTGGGGCTGACCAGAGAGTTCTAAGGAAGCAGACCTGTCTGTCATGTTGACCCAACTACTGCCAATCTGGGGCTGACCAGAGAGTTCTAAGCAAGCAGACCTGTCTGTCATGTTGACCCAACTAATGCCAATCTGGGGCTGACCAGAGAGTTCTAAGGAAGTAGACCAGTCTGTCATGTTGACCCAACTACTGCCAATCTGGGGCTGACCAGAGAGTTCTAAGGAAGTAGACCTGTCTGTCATGTTGACCCAACTACTGCCAATCTGGGGCTGACCAGA